GCGATTAGGCGTCGCACAGCGCCAAAGAGCGCTATAAAAGCGACTCATATATATATAAGAACACCGACATCTTGGGTATGATGAGTATGATAATTATCGAGTTACTCTCAATAATTCTCATTGCATAAATCGTGTTCTACATGAAATTTTGATGAGAAAACAAATGTGGTGAAGCTTAAATTTGCACATAGTTAAGTGGTCCATTAATGACTCCATAAGTATTTTCCGACCATAATTATTATATGATTCAGTTCTTAAAATCATAATTTGTTACCATTTTGGATTTGAGCAACTTTTCGGGCTACTTCTCTAATTATCTGCATCCTCCACTTTTCAGCTTTTGGTAATTCTTTGCAGTCTGAGGCAAGATATGGCCTCCGTTCTTTTTCCTCCGTCCCTTTTTCATGAACTTGTGCCGCTCGCCACCTTGCGAGGGTTGTCCTGTAAAAACACAACAACATGTATTACATTGAAACAACTATTCTGATAAAAAATTGATACATAAAAAATAATTTTGCCAAAATGATCGACCTCAAGAAATTACATTTCCCTCAGCAATGACTAGAGTAGTAAAACTAGAATGATAGAACAAATGATTCCCTTGGATTTACTACTTGTGCTGCACAAGGTTTTCTTCCTCTTGACGCCTTTTGTAATTATGTATGGATGTAATATTATTTTGAATAAATGACTTTATACCTACCAATCTATCTGTCTGTTTATCTATCTATCTATCTAAATAGGATCATTCCGTACTGACTGATCTGGTGGAGACACCCAAAGGACACCACCTGCTTTTGATTTGAATTATTTTTGATGTGCGAAGTAGCATAACATAAAAGCAAACAAAATGCAGCCTTCTCAGCTCGTTAGTTCATGGCATGAATTTGGATTTTTAGGCTGTTGTAGCTCAGATAATGAGCCTTAAAAACTTGATAAATCTAAGGCCTTGTCCTCACGAGCGCGGTACACAGAACTTAGTTTGGGGAACTTGTTCCCGGAACAAGTTTTAGCTGAGCTAAAACTTATTCCTCCAAACCCTGGAACTTTCCGAACCCCAAACTTCTAAGTTCCTTTTGTTTTGGATTTGTTTGTTTTTGTTTTTTACGTCCTTCATATGTCTTGGCATTTGTTTTTGTTGCCCTCACCGCCGTAATCTGTTATTTCGCAAAAATTGTAGAGTTTCATTGAAGTTCCGGTTATAGTTTGGAGGAACTCATGTGGACAGCATTTCACTTTTCGAGAAACAAGTTCGGCGAACTAAGCAGTTCAAGGAATAAGTTCCTCCAACTGCGCTTATGTGAACAGGGCCTATGTTTTCTATCTTCTTCACCGCTCATATTTTTACTAAAGAGTTAAACATTCCGAAAACACTAAAAATTGGTGAAAATTGGTAGAGAAATTGGAAAGTTACAATGTTAACTTGTGTTTGCCTGTAAGTAGCCATACTTCTGTATTTTGAAAAGATTGATGGAATAACTTACATGGCCTTCTCTGCATTACGAGCCTGAAAAAAAGAGCAAAACATAAAATTGAAAAGAAAGAATGACAATATATGCATAGTTAAATTTGGTTACCCATTTGTGGCAGACGCATTTAAAAAAAAAATCAATAAAAGGAGTCTATATACCTATTCATAATAAGGAAGGAGGAATTGAGGAAAAATTATGAACCCTATCTTCGGATGATGAGAGTTCTGTGAGCAAGATGAGAAAAAAAATATTACAGCAGTTGACTCTGCCCTAAGATGAGGTCTACTAACAAGCTGATTTAAGCACCTTCCCTGTTAAATAATTATATGCTATAAATGCTCAAACAAATTTCAACATCACCTGAGATATGAGGAACAAGCAGCTTGTCTGTTAGCGAATGCTTGCATGCTATTATCTATGTCAAGTAAGTTTTAACGCTTTTGACATGCAGAAGAGGATCTACCATCTCCATTTTCTCATTTAATCTAGAGGCATCAAATAAAGATGGCAAATCTCTTGGCTCACTCTAGAAACGCTCAAACTTATTTTTCGGAGACTCTTCTGTTCCACATTGCTGCTTGACGAGCTGTAGAAACCAAGTGCATCGGAATCATTGAGTCAATATATTTACTGGTAAAAAACCAGCAGAAATTCAATTTGGGTTTACAAAGCCATTGGACCGATCAGACGGAGGAAAGAATCGTATGCTCTCCTCTTGGTAATTAGTTAAACCTCTTCACTGCGTCTATTCTGTTGTTCCTGCTACAGCGTTTGCAAAATCATGCATGACAAAAAACCTTCCTTGGATGAGGGGGATATCTTTATCAGAGATAATTCGCCGGTAAAGTTAAGTCCCGTTTTGTAAAATCTTATCACTAAGAGAGGAATCAGAACGCTTGACTTACCATCGTTTGTTGAGACTTGAATTTTTAAAAATTCAAAGGTCAGGCAGAGAGTCAGTAAGAAGATATATCAATGTCAACTGAAATGAATAAAAGTAGGAACAATAAAGGTTGATTTTTAATATTTCAACTGATTTTTCCGACGTTAGAAATCGTGGATAATTCAAATAAATTCACTAACAAGTTTGGAGGTTATGTTCGGCGCGGCGTCCCGTTTGTTTATGTTGTTCTCCCAGTGATCAACTGTTGTTCTCCCAGTGATCAACTGGAGAGAACTTTC